ATGACATCAAAATACTGGCCTGGAGTGAATAGTTGTATATGAGTGGGAGGAGTCGAGCTGTAAGAACTAGTTCCACTGTTTTTATCTTTGCTTTCCCTTTTGTAAAACCCCCATGTGAGATTATTTTCAACATGTTCTACCTTCTTGGTCCAAAGGTCTGCCAATGAAGCTGAGCAACATCCAAAAGGGCCCCTGGGAGGTGATGGGTAGACCAAAGAAATAGAAGGAAAAAGAATTGAGAAGAAATGAGAAAGCAGAGGAAGTAAGGAGGAGAGAAAGCGACAATTACCTAAAGTAAAAGTAACCCTCTGCAGAGACAGAAGAGATACACAGATGTGGCCCAAGGTCTCAGGCCAAGTCAAAGGAAGAAACTCCTTTTTTCTGTTTTCCCACATTTCCTCTATTGTGCCACGTCTCTTCTCTTTTATTTCCTATTTGGTCAGCCTTTGATTATCTTAGCACTCATCTGCTTCTAGACAACAGATATTGGGTTAACCAAAAAAAGTCATTCGGGTTTTTCCATAAGATGGTACAGAAAAACCCAAATGAGCTTTTTGGTCAACCAGATACTTCATTCCTAAATTCTGGCTAGTCTGGGACAAGGCGCTGGGAAGGCATCTGGGCTTGAGCCTCACAGAGACCTGAATTTCAGATCTGGCTCTGCCAGCTCATGGCACCATGTCTGATCACTAGATCTTCAGGAGCTGAAAGTAGTTCTACATTCAGAGTAGGTGTCAGTACACTGTCCACTGAGCAAAACTCTCAAATGACCTCCCCCTTGCTATTTTACCTTCAGCCCTCTGGATGGTGAAGACTTTTAGTCCTGAATAAACACTGGGGAGAATTGAGGGTGGGCTAGGAAAGAAACAGAGGGCCCTGAAAGAACCCATGGTTTCACATTTACATCTGTAAGCAGCCCTGATCTTATGTAAGTCTAGTCCAGCAGTTCTCAAATTTCACCAGGCATCAGAGTGGAAGGTCTCTGGACTTCTGATTCTTGGATACTTACCTCCAGAAGGAGCTTAGGGCTCTCTGGGTATACAAAAGACATTCAGCAGGTACATGCATTTATCTTTCCTGGAGTTAAGAGAAGTTGTAATTGTTCTGTCTTCCACTTCACTGTATAAGTTGATGTGAAATTCTGTCAAGACTTGGTAGCTACTTTCATCCTATCTGTAGACACGTGTCTATTTGTAATACTAACTCACTAATATATTTCATTCTCTCTCTTCTCTCTTCATGTATTTGGACAAAGGGATTTTGTTGCTTTTCCCTGGCAGGATTGTTTTACCTCCCTAACACCCTAACCATTCTACTCTTCTTTGAAAACCACTCTCCCGGGTGTGGAGAAAAGGGAACCCTCTTACATTGTTGGTGGGAATGCAAATTAGTACAGCCACTATGGAAAACAGTGTGGAGATTTCTTAAAAAGCTGGAAATAGAACTGCCATATGACCCAGCAATCCCACTTCTGGGCATACACACCGAGGAAACCAGATCTGAAAGAGACACGTGCACCCCAATGTTCATCGCAGCACTGTTTATAATAGCCAGGACATGGAAGCAACCTAGATGCCCATCAGCAGACGAATGGATGAGGAAGCTGTGGTACATATACACCATGGAATATTACTCAGCCATTAAAAAGAATTCATTTGAATCAGTTCTAATGAGATGGATGAAACTGGAGCCCATTATACAGAGCGAAGTAAGCCAGAAAGATAAAGACCATTACAGTATACTAACACATATATATGGAATTTAGAAAGATGGTAACGATAACCCTATGTGCAAAACAGAAAAAGAGACTCCTATGTATAGAACAGACTTGTGGACTCTGGGAGAAGGCGAGGGTGGGATGTTTCAAGAGAACAGCATCGAAACACGTATATTATCTAGGGTAAAACAGATCACCAGCCCAGGTTGGGTGCATGAGACAAGTGCTCGGGCCTGGTGCACTGGGAAGACCCAGAGGGATCGGGTGGAGAGGGAGGTGGGAGGGGGGACCGGGATGGGGAATACATGTAAATCCATGGCTAATTCATTTCAATGTATGACAAAAACCACTGCAATGATGTAAAGTAATTAGCCTCCAACTAATAAAAATAAATGAAAAAAAAAAAAAAAAGAAAACCACTCTCCCAGCCTACGCTGCTGCAGTTAGAGTTTCTCTCCCAGGAATTTACAGTCAGTACTGAGAGACATGGTCTGCATGAAGCCGAGTTGGGGGGTGGCGGTGGGAGAGGTGGGGGCTTGGACAGTGAGGCAGATATATAGAGAGGATTAGAGGCACCAATTCTTGAGGTCTTTCTGCCTGGGGTACAGTCCCAGTGAGTTCCATTTGCCCTTCCAGCCTTGGGTTCTGCGAGATACTTCCTGTCCTGCCAAAATCTCCTTTTTTGCTTACGTAAATTGCCCTTGCATTTCTGCTAATTGAGCCTAAATAACCGGCACTGAAATACTCCCCATTGCCCTCATGATGAACTGCAGATCGCTGGATACAGTAACAAAGCTCTTTGTGATCTGATGCCTGCTTACCCCTCCATCTCTCATCTCAACACATTTGCCTCCCTCTCTAAACCTCAGTCATACTAAACTAATTTTTTAGCTCTTTCTGTTCTTTAGGCCTTGGAGATGCTTTTTTCATTCTGTTTATAACACTCTTTTCTCTTCATGTTTGCCTGATCAATCCCTATTTGACCTTCAGATATCAGTGTTGGTATGTCACTTCCTCCAGGAAACCCTCCCAGATACATAAATTTTTTCTCTATATTCTTGGAGTACCTGTACTTCCCAAGGCCTAGCATTTATATAAGACATCACAGTTCTGGTGACTTGTGTTTCTTCCTCTCTAGATTTTGAGCTCTGTGAGGGCAAAGTTTGAGGCTGAATCACTGATGTATCTGAGTGTTTCACAGTACCTGGTACTTGGCTGGCACCAAATCAATACTTGTTAAATGAATGAATGATGTGCCTCCCTTGCTATCAGTCACCTGCCCCAGTGGCAGATTAACAACGTTGAATAGAAAAAATGAAAATTACTTTGGCCTCAAGCTATAGACTACAATTTGGAAATACTCCTGAGGTAAAGAATCAGATATCAAAAGACTTTGGGAATATCCTGTTACTTTCATTGTATCTATCTCCCCCCGCCCTTTTAATGACTGTGACAGAGTTTCTAATTAGAGAAAAAACTTCATGCATATATTGACTCAAAAGTGCCATATCACCAAGGGAGATTTTGTGAATAAGGTTAGAATTTAGCATATCAGAAATTCAATCCACTTGAGATCTCTCTAAGAGGTTTGCCCTTGGGTTGTTTAGCGCAGACTTTTATAGTCACTGAGGACTGTTGTCATGGTAATCATGGAATCTTTCATGATTTTCGTATATGAGTCAATGAAGATATTGGAAACAACCCAGAGGAATTCATACTTGGGTGTGCATTTGTCTCCATATTAGCCCATCACTGTTCTGAACACACATCTGCCCCTGGGCCAATTCTCTTGGCTCTCAGCCTTGACAGGAATAAATAAACAACGAATTCCTTTTTAGTATTTCAGGCTAGGAGGCTGTGGATGGCTGCCCTTTTGGTCTCATTTCAACAGGAAGTCGTGTACAAACAGCTTAAAAGAACAGAAAAAAAAAAAATGCTGCATGAAACATCTCTTCTTCTATTTCAGAATTTTAATGTTGTTGATTTCAAGGCACCTAAATCTAATGCCTAAACAGAAGTTTCTGTTGTAGAGAACACAGAACACTGAATGTACCTAAAGTCTTTCTTTTATGGTCCTTCATAAATATACCTTAATCCGAGCCTCCGTCAAGTCTATAGATTCACATCCGGGTAGTTCAGTGTGCTCAGAATATTTGAGATTTTCTATTTATGTCCCATCCTGCTAGTTCCCCCCCCACCCCCCAACATCTATTTTCTCTTCTTTCCTAATAATAGAACACCTTGCATTTAGGAGGCATGTAGATTCTTGAAATCAAGACAATTCTATTCTCCCTGAATGCTGGTCAATGGTATTTAAGTCAAAGTGGTGTATTTGACTTCCTGGATTTATCTTTAAAGGGAGTAAATATGTAACCTCCTTCATCCCTTCCTACTGACTGGAATGTTGACATGCTGGTTGGAGCTGGGGTAGCTGTTTTGGACAATGAGTTGAGAACCATGTTGGGAAAAGCAGAATGGCAGAATAGAAGGAGTGTGGGTCCCTGAAGATTGTGAAGCTTTCATAAAAGCCTAGATTATGTTCATAGGAGAGAGAAAGGAACTTCAGCCTTATTTAATCTATGGTTATTTTGGATTTTCTGTTGTCTAATCTTAACTAGAAGCCAAAAATGAAATTAATTATTCCTCTTTTCACTGATGGGGTGTGAAATTTTTTGTGAGATTACCCATTGATCCCAGGGCATGCTGAAATGTAGGCAGCTTTGCATTAGCCAGACTGACTTTTCTGGTATGGGGAGTTGAGACAGCATTTCCATGGCAGAAAAATGCCTACTTCAGATTAGTCATAGCGACACAGTGTTGCCTGGCTTTTATGTACATTTTGAATTTTTCTAATATAGTGAAACATATCTATCCTAAAATAAGAACTTGTATTTCAAACACTTTTTGGGAAAAATAGATAACAAATAATGGACTTGTCTGATGGCTCAGTGGTTAAAGAAACCACCTGCTAATGCAGGAGACACAGGAGACATGGGTTCAATCCCTGGATCAGGAAGAACCTCTGGAGAAGGAAATGGCAACCCACTTCAGTATTCTTGCCTGAAAAATCCAATGGACAGAGGAGCCTGGTGAGCTACAGTCGAAAGTATACTACAAATCATCACTAATTAGTCTGAGTGCAAAGTAATTGAGATAAGAAAATAAAACCCAACCCCAAAACAAAAAAAAACCCAAACTTTCCAAATTAACTGAGACAAGTGTGACAGTCTTCCACATAGGAGACACAAGTCTTGTACTAGTGAGGAATTGCAGCTTTACTTACTGAATTTGGGCCTTTTCATTTTCTTCATCATTTCTTGATTTGAGTGTATTCCAGTCACCAGCAAAACTAAATGAAGAAAATGCAAAAAATCAAATCAGTATTATTTCACTAAATACTTCCTCTCTTTTGACCTTTATACTTGCTTCAATCACATGTTGAAATATTCTCATTAATAAAACTAATTTCCCCTTATTTTATGTTTGAGGAAATAAGATGTATCATGTGTGCTTTTCTTAGCCTCTGCTGAAAGGGCCTTTCCAAAATACCTCTTGGATGTCTGTCCTTTGTTTTGCTGTCTCTAAATTTCACCACACCAACTCCACTAGGTCTAGAGAAGTCCGCTGATTTGCTTGGACCCAGGAATAGAGGCGAGATGAGCACCCAGGCCTTTCCTGTGCTCTTTCTTCTGTTCCACACTAAGTTTCCTTTGAGCCTTGTGTTTTTAAAATATAATATAGACCGTTTTTTCCTTATTACCGAAATAATAGGTATTGCTGGTAGAAGAGTATAAAAAAAGGCACAAAAACAATACTACAGAAAATATAGATGAAAGCAAAAGTGTAATATTTTCAGGCTTTTTCTGTATGTGTGTATTCATATGGGTACTTTTAAACAAACTTTTGATGATGCTTATACTGTTTACAAGGTATCATAAACATATCTGTTTGGTCAAAGAGTTCATTGGCGTTCTTGATACCATCTTATGGAAAAATCCACATGAACTTTTTGGCCAACCCAATATTTCTACTTAAAGATATGTAGAGACCTTTTTTTCCCGGTCATTCAATGTTCCTCCCATAATAATCTTAACTGCCTGCAAAATATTGCAGTGCATGGATGTATCATAATTTAGCCAACCCCTTATTTGATATAAATAGCTTCCTCTTTGTGTGGATTTCTTATTATTTTCTTAAAATAACATTCCAAATACAATTTCTTGTCTGAAAGATAAGCCCACTTAAATTTTTGACATATGTTGTGAAAATTTCTCAGAGCAAAATTTTATTAATAATGTCTGAAAATTCTCATTCCTCTGTACCTATGCTAATTGTACTGGTAAACAGAAAAGCACATTTTTTTCTTTCAAAAGGCTACTCAGTCTCTATTCTTATTCCTTCCTCTCCAGGAATTCTTCTGCCTTACCTACCTAAAGATGGTACTGCTGTAACTTGCTTCCATTTTAGTCACTCTTTTGAGAAACCCATTTTCTGGGTGGAGCTGGGTTTCTGGAGGTGAACATGAGTCAGTAGAATAATTAAAACAGGCATTTTACTTCCTACTTTATGTGCTTTTTAAAGTTTTTATGTAACAGAACATAGATGCTTGATTAAGGCATAAATCAGGACTTAGGAATTCTTTAATTGGCAACTATCTTTGAAGGAAAGAGTGGCAATGTCACCAAGTGTTGATTAAGAAAAATTTTATATATCTTATGATTCTCTAGCTAGGCTGTGCCAGTGATGTACCTCATGAATTATCCCTAGTTCTGACTGTTTAGCACTCACTGAGGCCTGGACAGTTGACATACCATGTCCTGCAAGAACAGAACCATAAAAGAGAATTGAGTGAAAACCAAAAGTCTAGCCAAGCAGAATGAAGGCAGACATTTTTTAGGTGTTATTTACTTCTGGGGTTTGGGTGGGTGTGAGTGTCCTGGAGGTCTGATTTTTATAGTAGCCTCTGTGTCATTTAACTCTATCCAAAGACCGCATCTTCATTTTATACACAAAAATAAATAGCTAGAATTCTAGAATAAAAAAAAAAACAAGGATAATAAATATATAGAAAAAATGATGCAATTTAAGTAGAAAGAGCTAAATAGTAATAAATTTGGTTATCAGTTCTTGGTGGAAAACCAAGTTCTGTCCTTCTGGGGCTGTGTGCCTGTGGCGAGTGGTTTATAAGTCTCAGTATCATTAGGACTATAAATATTTCAGTAAGACCACCCCATCACTTGCTTTTGCTCACCCAAGACCCTCCAGGCTGAAAACATGCAGAGCTGGGTTGGGTTTTACAGCAGTGGTTAATAAAGTCATTATTTTCAGTGGTAGACAGAGGCCCTCCCCTCAGCTTAGATGCTTGTTAATTAAAGCTGCCCAGAAACCACTCCTCAAGGGGTGGGCTGGTCAGTAAGGTTGTGAAAGTGCTTGTGCCTTGAAGCAAGTCTTCATTCCTCATCATTAGGGCCCTTCTTGGTACCTTGGAATTGCAATGGAATTCTATTGCGTGTAGAATTGGGGTGAGAAGAAAATCTGTCTTGTATTTCTGTTCGTAGGAACAGACAGAGCACAGAGATGGACGACTGATGCTCACTTCAAAGTCAAAGCAGAACACAGGTCTGAAAGTACTTGCCTGGGAGTAGTTAGTTATCTGGCCACTGAGGCCATTAGAATCTAGAGGCTTTGAGGAGATCAAGTCTAGAGTCTGAAGTTCCAGGGCAATTATGATTTACCAACTCTGCAACAGTACTTCTCAGTTTTAAAAAATTCAGTGTTCCAATTTTGATTAACATGAAAAGTTCTCACCTTTCACTAGTCATGTTTGACATTTCAAAAACAAAGTAAATATTAAAATTATTTTTTCAAATAAAAATTTTCCTCTACTTCTCTTTCTCTCTAATGTGGCCATCAGGATGGTTAAGATGTCTGAGGTGCAATTGCTTAAAACTTCAACAGTTTAAATACATTATCAACCAGGTAATTTATAGAGAAAACACAAATGAGTTAGCTTGAAACAATGTTAAATCTCATTAATGATTAAAAAATGCAGACTAAAGCAAAATGACATTATATTTTCTCATATTGTGTACTGAATATTGAACTCAGGATTATAGTTATTCCTGGTATGGATTTGGGATTAGGGCAGTCCAGTACATGGTCAGTAAATTCTGAGCAGGTAGAGTCAACCTGGAAAGCCATGGGCAGTACAATTCAGTAGCCTTAAAAAACAGTCCTATTCTTTGTCCTAAAAAATATATACCTAGTAATATATCCCAAGGTATAATCAGAAATATCCAACTAGGATCCAACTAGTCCATCCTAAAGGAAATCAGTCCTGAATATTCATTGGAAGGACTGATGTTAAAGCTGAAACTCCAATACTTTGGCCACTTGATACAAAGAGCTGACTCATTTGAAAAGTCCCGATGCTGGGAAAGATTGAAAGTGGGAGGAGAAGGGGACGACAGAGGATGGGATGGTTGGATGGCATCACTGACTCAATGGACATGAGTTTGAGTGAACTCTGGGAGTTGGTGATGAACAGGGAGGCCTGGCGTGCTGCAGTTCATGGGGTCTCAGAGAGTCGGACACGACTGAGCGACTGAACTGAACTGAATCAGAAATAGAGACAAAGATTTAAATTTATGTAAAAGATGTTCATTAAAGCATTATTTCTTTTCCTTTCTACCTTTTTTTTCTCAACTGCACCACACTGCATGCAGGGTCTTAGTTCTCCTACCAGGGATAGAACCTGTGCCTACTACAATGGAAACAGTGAGTCTAAACCACTGGACCACCAAGGAGGTACCAGAGCACTGTTTCTAATAGCAATCTGAGAGTGATGAAAGGTTGAGCATGTCCCAACAGTAGGGGAACCCTAAGATGCTGAAGCTGAAACTCCAATACTTTGGCCACCTCATGCGAAGAGTTGACTCATTGGAAAAGACCCTGATGCTGGGAGGGATTGGGGGCAGGAGGAGAAGGGGACGACAGAGGATGAGATGGCTGGATGGCATCAGCGACTCGATGGACATGAGTTTGAGTAAACTCCGGGAGTTTGTGGTGGACAGGGAGGCCTGGCGTGCTGCGATTCATGGGGTTGCAAAGAGTCGGACACGACTGAGTGATTGAACTGACTGAACTGAAGCATTTATCGGGGCTTCACAGGTGGTTCAGTGGTAAAGATTCTGCATGCCAAGCAGGAGAAGTGGTTTGATCTCTGAGTTGGGAAGTTTCCCTGGAGATGGAAATAGCAAGCTGCTCCAGTATTCTTGGCTGGCAAATCCCATGGGCAGAGGAGCATGGTGGGCTCCATGGGCTCCACACAGAGTGTGGCACAAAGAGTCTGACATGACTTAGCGACTGCAACAAGCAAAGCATTTATTATGAATGAGGTGTAGCAGAAGATTAAATGACCTGGAAAGTTCTAATCATAAGCGTGATTCTGACAAAATTAGAACATATACAGAGAGAAATACCTGGAACAAAAATATCCCCAAATTTTAATAATGGTGGAATTATAATTCCTATTGTATATTTTCTGTGTTTTTCCTATTTCAAAGTATATTTCTTATATATATATACACACACACACACACATATGTATATTCTATATTTTTTGTAGAATGTTTCTTTTCTCATTAGAAAAAGACAATGGTTCTTTAATTTGGTCATATTGATATCATATTGATGTAATAATGAAAAATGCTTTTAAAACATTAGCATAGTTAATAGGCACTTGTGTTCCGCTTTTCTTGTTGGTGATAAATTATAACCAGAATCCATTTACATTCAAGGAAAGACATGAAATGCCATAACATCTAGCCAGTGATCAAATTAGTAAATACTTCAGTTCAGTTCAGTCGCTCAGTCGTGTCTGACTCTTTTTACTACCCCATGAATTGCAGCATGTCGGGCCTCTGTCCATCACCAACTCCTGGAGTTTACCCAAATTCATGTCCATCGAGTCGGTGATGCCATCCAGCCATCTCATCCTCTGTCATCCCCTTCTCCTCCTGCCCCTAATCCCTCCTAGAATCAGGGTCTTTTCCAATGGGTCAACTCTTCGCATCAGGTGGCCAAAGTACTGGAGTTTCAGCTTCAGCATCAGTCCTTCCAATGAACACTCAGGACTGATCTCCTTTAGGATGGACTGGTTGGATCTCCTTGCAGTCCAAGGGACTCTCAAGAGTCTTCTCCAACACCACAGTTCAAAAGCATCAATTCTTTGGTGCTCAGCTTTCTTTACAGTCCAACTCTCACATCCATACATGACCACTGGAAAAACCATAGCCTTGACTAGATGAAAATTTGTTGACAAAGTAATGTCTCTGCTTTTTAATATGC